CGACGCGCGAGCAGCGCAACGCTCCTCGAGCTCCTCCTCAACGTCCACTTCGTCGTCTTCGTCGTCGTCGTTGTCCTCGTATTCGTCGTCTTCGTGCCAAAAATCCCTGAATTCGATCGAAAGAGAAAATTTTTCCGATGGAGCATGTTGAATTAGGAAATTTATATAGATAATAATATAAATTTCGAAGGTTACAACAGGATACACGAGTAATTATTTTTATTATATATATATAAAATAATTTTGAAGAAAAGGAAATTTCGAAATATTTAAAATTTCTTTTCTTTTTCTAGATAAATTTTAAAACAAGATTCGATAAATATTTTTATTGCGAGGAAAATAATTTTGAAGAAAAGGAAATTTCGAAATATTTAAAATTTCTTTTCTTTTTCTAGATAAATTTTAAAACAAGATTCGATAAATATTTTTATTGCGAGGAAAATAATTTTGAAGAGAAGAGAATAAAGTTTCGAAATATTTAAAATTTTTTTTCTTTTATAGTTAAATTTTAAAACGAGAAGATTCAGAATATTGTTTTATAGATAAATTTTGAAATAAGATTCGATACACGAGTAAATATTTTTATTGCGAGGAAAATAATTTTGAAGAGAAGAGAATAAAGTTTCGAAATATTTAAAATTTGTTTTCTTTTTCTAGATAAATTTTAAAACAAGATTCGATACACGAGTAAATATTTTTATTGCGAGGAAAATAATTTTGAAGAGAAGGAAATAAAGTTTCGAAATATTTAAAATTTTCTTTTTTTACATAGATAAATTTTGAAAAAATTACAAAAAGATTCGATACACGAATAGCTATTTTTATTGCGAGGAAAACAATGAAAATGTTAAAATTTTCTTTTCATACAGATAAATATCAAAACAAGATTTTTTAAAGATGTCGAAATATTTATTTCTCTAAAGATCGTCACCTTCTTGCATCTACGAAAAATCGAAAAATGTCGCGCACGGGATTCGAGTCTTCCTCGAAATTAAAAGTCAAGGAGGTCTATTCAGGGTCGTGATTGCGGTAACTTGGCCAGAGAACGAGGGTCATGTAGCAAGCTCTCGTTGCCAAAGAAAACTTATGATCCTCCCCCTCCTCCCCCTCCTCCCCCCTCTGATAATCGTACCTTTGTTTATCCCGCGCCTTTCCAACCTACGTCTGCGACAACCATATCGTACGAAAACCAGGATTAAAATGTCGGAAATAACTGATTTATCCGTGTTCGCCTCGAATCATCCAATAGGGGAAGAAAAAATCCAATAGCAAAAATAAACGTGTCACGAACGCGAAGCGATGCCAAGAGAGATCGTATAACCGCATCGTGAAGAATTACGTTAAATTTACTACGAGACAGGTGTCGTTACCGGATAAGTCGCAATTTTGGTATAACTAAAATTCTTTACCATTCGACCATTATCCAGAGTGAAAACTACCTACTAGCATTAGAATCGAAATGATAATTACCTTATGTACTTACTCAATTTACTCCAGTTAAATAACTAAAAATTAACAATTAAAATTATTAAATAGAAATAATATTATTATTTATATTATTAAGTTAAATAGAATAATATTAATTAATATAATTATTACATCGTTCTACTTCGATTTCAACCAATCATACGAACATACCTTCGATTCGAAACAACTGGTGTTGTAAAGAAATTTTTCAAAAAATAT